ACAGACTTCAAGCTTTCTTAGTTTAACAATGTTTTTTTCGTCTTGATTTCTAGCCTGCCACTTCATAATCAGCATCTTATAAGAGATATGGAGCATACATTCTAAAAACCTTATCCAAGCATGCAAAGTTGAAACGCCATGTTTTATATTGCCTTCTAAAGTTTTTTTTGAACAACTAAAGATAAATTGTTCATTTCGATTGGAGATTCACCACACATTGAACAGCATTGGTATGAGTTGGTTGCTGTGGAAATAATAGTTTGAATTTTTCCATCTATCATTGTTAATTTTACAATATGTTGTGCTTCAACTTCCTTTATTGTACCGTCCTCCAATTAAACAGGTACAACAGATAATGTTATCTCCTTAATAGAAGCCATAATTGACTCATATTCTGCAAGAATTACTTCATTTGATTCTTTTCTATATTTAAATCTCAGAGGATTAACTAATTACTGCAGATCTCTGCAGTAATTAGTTGACGATGGTTTCGGATTTCTCCAAACAACCTGTTTTGTCATCTTTGAAACAATATAGTTCTAGAGGAACCAAGCAAGTTATGAAAAGTGATTCATCTGTATGAAGTTCACTAGAAACATCTGACAGTTGTTTATAAACAGATTGTCCTGTTGCACCATCAAAACCAGCTTTGTATATTATAAATAGTTTAGTACAATCTTTAAGCACAGGTGAATTTAACACAACACTGTAAGCTGAACATATTCTTGATGCAGTATGAAAAAGAAGTGCTTGTAATGGAACCTCTGCAGAGTAATCACTGACCTGAATGTTTTCAGGGTAGCATTTTTTTTTAAGCCTCTTTTACAATATGATAGGATGGGTATAGAGAGCTGAATGGAAGAGCATTCAAATCGTCGTAATAATAATACAAAATTATACACATTATGATAAGTTTACACATAGTTAAAGTAAACATACCACAGGTTTTTGTTTCTATTTTTTTTTTTTTACAGTCAAATATAGTTTGGTTTAACCAAACTTTATATCTTTTTTCAAATACTGCACTTGTTCTATTCGATTTTTTCCACTTGTTTTTAGCTTGGTAAATGAATTTCGAAATAATTGACAAGTTATCATTAGATTCTTCAAAATTGCTTTGGGAAACAAAACTCAAAATCTTTGCATGTAAATCATCATTTTGTAGTAAATTATTTTCCATTATATAATTCATAAGACATATCCTATCCATTTTTAAGAGACTATCTGTTCAATAAAATACTTTTAATTTGAAAGAAAGTAATTTAAAATGTTTTTAATAAAGTAATTTTTTTACGAGCAGTAACTATGAAACTCAGTTCCTTTCCTTTATTTCTCATTGGTTGTTATCGTGTTTTTTATCGATTACATATAATTTTATTGTTTTCGGAAATTATAAAATAAATAATATGTCCCAAACTTGTACTACGTAGAAGTATATAATTCATATTTTATCACAGTCTCTGAGTTTTCTTATTACTTTAAAACGGTAGCATAAAAAATTAGGAATAATGGTTTCAATACGAGGAATAATGGTTTCAATAAATATTTTTGTATTTTTTAATTGCAAATACGAGGAAGTTACTGGAAAGCAATTAAAAAATACAAAAATATTTAATTTTAAATTTATGTCTTTAATAAAAATTATTATAAAGTCAAACTGCAGTTTTTAAATTTTAAATCTTCTTAAATATTTTGTTATCGATCAAAAACGCATTAACAAGAAACTTTGACGTAGTTAATTGAATTTAAAAGTGTATTCGTTTAGGCAGCTATAGGCAGCCAATTTCTATACCACAAGATCAATGTCATATTGGTATTCAATTATATATTATTTCAAGCGGTTGATACAGGTTGATCCGATGGTTTTAAATGATATTTTTGAAAAAAATAAAAAATTATAACTCAAAATTATTGATGTTTGCATTGTTGAAAATATTAATACAAAATGTAAAAAAAAAATTTTTTTTAAAGTGATTTAAATATTAACATAATACTATATAAGTCATTTATAAGTTAAAAAATAAACTTAAACTTCTTTAAAATAAGAAATCAAAGTTTTCAAAAGATGTAAAAAAATAAAATTTTCACACTTCTTTGTTGTTATTGATAAAAAGTATTTAAGGAAATATTCAAACAAAAAATATGGCGTTTTATTAAAAAATTATTTTTTAATAAAATATAATTTCTGGCTTATTAATATATTGAGCAAAATTTGCCTTTTTCAAAATTTCAAAATTTAAAAACTTTTTTGTATGGTTTTGCCGGCTTCTGGCCCACTGTGCACTGATCTCAAAATATAAAGGTGAGTTTCCACTCATCCGTTTTTTCACGGGAACGGGATAGGGAAAGGAAAAATAATCACGTGAGCATGCGTAGTTTTCCTTTGGACTTATACTACGCATGCCCACGTGATTATTTGTCCCGTCCCTATCCCGTTCCCGTGAAAAAACGGATGAGTGGAAACTCACCTTAACTGGATATACGGCAAATTTTTTGAAGCCAATTTTGGCTACCCAAGATGGCGGCGTATTTGGTTGATTACAAATTTAGAAATTTTTGTTACGAACTTTTATATTTTTTTATATATAAATAAATGTATAAGCCTCAAAAAAATATATACAATTTTCGGTTTTACATAGCAATTATTTTAGAAAGAAACACAATATTACATATTTACGTAAATTTCTAAAATATATATATAATATTTTGTTTAGCAATACTCTTAATAATCTACTCAAACGATTTTACTAATAAATATTATACTCTTATAATATCACAATATATATTACTAATACATATTATACACAAACAATAAATATTATACTCTTAATTATCTACTCAAACATTAAGTTTGTGTAATACCTTTCTTTTTTTTCTTCTTTTTTTTTTATAAATTTAATTAAATAAGATAAAAAATTTTAGTTAAATTAATTAAAAATTATTTTATTTAACATTAGTAAAGTATTATACCTCTAACCTAGTAGTTAACTACTAGGTTCCACTAATAGTTATGAAATAACTAGTTATACCGTATCAGTATAAATAAAAAATAAATATGAACCTAGTAGTTATCCAATTTAACAATTTCCAAACAACTTTAAAATAATTATTTTAAATGTGAAATTTTAATCATTTTTTATTTATATTTCATTTATTTACTTTTTTTTAATTTTAGTTTTACAATAAATTAATTATTGTTTTTTCTACAAATTAATGTACCTTTTAGTTCTTCTTCTATAACTACCCAATGCTGTATGCTAGAAGGTTAATAACACAACTGCATGGTAGGCAGCTGAATATCTTTTTAAAATAAACTAATATAAATTAGTTTTTCAAATAGATATCACAAATTTACAAATGCTGCATGAACTATTAGCTGAGCTCTGTGAGTACGCACAACTCAGGGGTTCCTTCTAGAATTTTTTTTATATATAATTATATGTACTTCATTTTTTATTTGGTTGTACTTTACTAAAATCTCTCTCTCTCTTTCTCTCTCTCTCTCTCTCTCTCTCTCTCTCTCTCTCTCTCTCTCTCTCTCTATCTATATATATATATATATATATATATATATTTATATATATATATATATATATATATATATATATATATATATATATATATATATATATATATATATATACAGGGCCATATTAAGCATTTTTTGGTCTTTGAGATTGCTAACTTCCAGATATGGAGTGAACTCCAAACACTTATATGTTTATACTTATGTCAAATAAAGATGGTTTGCAAAAAATTGCGATGATTGGAGTCTGGTAACAAAAAAGCCCTAAAATTTGCGCTCCTCTCCCCCAAAACGTTGCACAAATTTTGGGACTTTTTTGTTCCCAGACTCCAATCATTGCAATTTTTTGCAAACCATCCTTATTTGACATAAGTATAAACATATAAGTGTTTGGAGTTCACTCCATATCTGGAAGTTAGCAATCTCAAAGACCAAAAAATGCTTAATATGGCCCTGTATATATATATATATTTGTTATAGGTACGTTTTTCAGGTTGATCGCTGAATTAAATAATAATGTATTATGAAAAGTAAAAAAATAGCTACTGGGTGTCCCAAATAACATGATGCTTAAGAAATTCAACTATATTTCAACAACTAAACTTTTACCCTAGTCTTTTTGATTTCCGTCCTCTTTTGGAGCTCCCTCTTCTTCTACATCACCCCTGGATGATGATGATGCTGCAGGTAGATTCCCGGGCAGTTTTACCCCCACTTCGTTTCTCCAAATTTCCAGATATTCCTGAATCGTCCGCGAAAGTTGATTTTCATAATTACGCAACCTCAAATATCAAACTCGTACGAACAATTAAATTTCAAATTTAAATTATTCAATTTCCGGGGATAACCGGACTGTGAAATTTTTACACATAAAAATAGAAAGTCTATATTTAATAAAACATTTGAGTTTATTTGCAGCCTCCTGCGGCCTTTTTTTTCCTGTCTGTCAATTTCAAATATTCTTTCTAATTAAAAAAAATATATTTTCATATATTTTAGAATTTTTTCAACAAATAAACAAAACTGCACAAAAAAAATGTTTAAATTTCAGTTTTTATTTTTCATTAAGTAATTCACAAATTAAATATTATTTACAGACCAGGAAAGAAAAAATTTTTTAAATTCATGGAGTAGTTTTTAATGTATAGCGTTTCAAAGTTGTTGTTAAAAAACAGAATTGGTACAATTTTAAGACAAATATTTTGCGTCAATATTTACTTTAACTTCAAACAGCTATAAAAACAAAATGGTTTGATGAATTTCAAAAGTTTTTTTGCACTGACCCTACACATTATAAAAATACTATATTCAAAGTGAAAAAATAAAAGGTTAACACTTAGTGTTAAAAATGTTAACACTTAGTTGTTTTAGATGTTAACACAAAAATGTTAACACTTAGTGTTAAATTTACACAAAACTTATAGGAAGGAATTTAAAAACAAATACATATACATACCTAAGAAAACGTTCTACATTAATAATTTTTTAAATTTATTCTAAATCATGTAAACCAGAAATGCGATTATACTATAATAAATAAATATTAAATGTGATCAGTAAAACGGGTTCTTGCAATTTAAGTAATGTTAATTTATATATATAATAATTATGTACTCATTGATAACAATTTAAAGAATTTATTTGCGTATTTAATACTTTGTATCGGCTTTTAGTTAATCACATAAAAAACATCAGTTACGAAGTTACTTTTTAAAATCAGTTATAATGTAAGCACCACAAGAAGGTAACCAAGTACAGTCCGCTAAACCTAAAATAATCAAACAAATAAAATTAAACCTTGAGATTTATTTATAAAGGATTGAATATATTGTCAAAAAGAAAAAAAAGGCTTTTACAACCATCTAGTTCATTAATATTAACATCGCTTGGTGCAAAATGTTGCCAAGTAACACTACAATTTAGTAACACTGCTTGGCTTGCTAAGATAAAAACTTAGCTCCATCTATCACCAAGTAACAAAGCTTATAAAATATGGCAATAAAGTAATAACATGAAATACAAACATGAATACAATACAAAAAAAAATTTCTTGACTGTAGTGCCTGTCACGGCCGTGTGGAGGTTAATTCAAAAATAATTAAAAAAAGAAGTTGCAATTAAAAGCTATAAATTAAGAATATGAGATAATATAACAGATAGTTGTGTAACATTTTCATCTGTAATACCTCATTGTTTATTGACTATAAAAAACAAAATTAGTTAGACAAAAGAAAACTACAATTTACAAAATAAAATTTTGAGTAAAATATTTAAAAAGTAATTGATTACCTATTTTCAACTTTAAGCAATTAGAAAACATTTGTGCAATATATTTGATAAGAAATTAATAAAAAAGAAAATAAAGCAGATACAAATCTATCATTAAAAATTAAATTAGTAAACACATAAAATAATAGTTCTAATTGAAAAAATGTTATATGTAAGTAAAATCAGTTTTTAATTTTGAAAAATTAAATTATGTATAACTTAACCAAATGAAGTAGGTGTAAAAGATACTATAGAAAAATCTTTACAAATATCTTTTCAATCTTTGAATCGGAGTCCTTATAGCAGCATAGACTCCTGGACTCCGGGCTGATAGCAGCATAGACTCCTGGACTCCGGGCTGATAAACTAAAGAATCCAAATCATTAAATTTTATGAACTTTTTTCTTACTGCACATCATAAGTCACTTAACATTAGAGATTTTGGAGTAAAAAACATAGATTTAAAGCTGGAGTCTTTTTGGGATTCCACATACTTGTTTATAACAATACATTACTATTTTTCAATAAATTATTGATTTTACTTCTATAGTATTTTTTTTTTTATATTTTGATTTTAATACTGACATTGAGTACATTTTAAAATGTTTTTCTTCTAGCAAAATATAACTAAATCCAAGATCTAAGTTTGAGCCTCAGTTGCTTTTTGATGTAGGAATTTTAGTCTAACATGTTCAAAACTATCAACAGTTTTTACAAAAAATTTCCTATGAATAAAATGCTTAAATTATAACCCTAAGATAGAATAAGTAAGCAGACTTTTTATTTTCATTTCAAGAAGAAGCCCCTATTGAATAACAAATTAGTTTTTATAGTATTTTACCCTTGGATATGCTTGCCAAATTTATATTCTTTTAAACTATTTTAAAAAAAGTTCATAAACCAAAACTGTAGCCATTTTTATTTTTTTTTTAGTAAAAATAATTTTTTAAAACCTTTTAAAAATTATTAAAAAAAAACGATCAATTTATAAAATGTTGTTATTATTTGACTAGAGTGAATTATGTTGCAAACATTCCTGACCACATCTGATTTAAAGCAGAATTTCATTTACAAATAAAAAATGTGTATGCAGTATTTATCAACAAAAGTGAAACACATGACACAACATGACAATGATCTGATCCTACTAGATCTAGTTTCATAAAGTAATGGCACACGTATAGTTTTTAATGTATATTTTTATGATTATTCAGGAGAAATCACTTTCATACAAAGTAAAAATTATTTGAGAGAAAGTAGAAAATGTTGTATGGGAAAGAACTCAAGTTAAGGAAAAATCATGATAAATATTGAAGTTAGATAAACAGATACAGAACAGAGTTAGACAACAATATATTGAAATTAGATAATCTAATGAACCTTTGAATATTTCTCCATAAAACACTTGATTGTGGAAATAATTAGTCTGAATGTGCTTGACAAAACTGTTCAGAACTTAAATTTCAACATTAAAAAAGACAAAAACAAAAGATTTTTTTTTTGAAAAATCTGATATGCAGATAGCATATGATGAACTGAAAATAGAACTGAAAATTGAGACAAATCATTGTCTCTAAAACATATTTAAAAGTTAAGCTTATAAACTTTTATCAATATGCAATATGTAGTTACAAAGATCATCAAATATGTAAAGTTTAAATACATTAAAAAAATAGTAATAGTTAAATAACCAGATTATGTTTCTG